GTCCGGATTCGGACCGCGGTCGGCCAGTAAAGGGGCGATACTCGTTTGCGAGCATTTAACCTTTTTTGCGACTCGTTTGCGTACAGTTGTACAACTCAATTACGCACATTAATTTTTACCACTTGTGATAAATGACCCAAAACGTAGGACTCGTTGGCGTGTACTTGAACTATGGAAAAAGTCTACTAAAACCCAAAAGAACTAACAAAAATAATGTTTAAGATTGTATTTCTCACTTTTACAGGCTTAGGACTGTCTGTATACAACAGACTTGATTAAAAATGTTTTTTTTCCCTGCTAATTTAATTTAATTTGCTATTCATAAATGTCTGAAACATTTGTGACCGAAACTAACTTTTGAGATTACGCGAATCTTATCGAAATTTCCTATGCAAGTTACAATATGAGTCTAATTTAATAATAATTGTACACAAACCAGTTGTCGACCGTTGTATTAGATCTTGCGTCTCGCAATATAATTTAACAAAAATTATAAAATTTATTTCTTAACATTTTGGCTTTTTATATTGTATTTATCCATGTGGCTCGTAAACGTATTCATGTTGGCCAACCCTATATTAGATACTCGTTATGCAATGGCGACCATAGTCGTGCACTCGTGCGTAAATTCAAATCCTATAACTATTAAATGCAAGATGGTCCAACCAACGGCCCTCCAAGCCTTTTTTTTTTTGTACTCATCCTCAACCTTTTTATGTATGCGTACCACCTATACAGTTTGAAAATGTTCGTGTATACTACTTAACCAAATAACGTTTTTGTTACTCGCCAAAAATGTAAACATTATTTTTCATGTTTGGAATATTATTTCTCTAGGGACTACAAAATTATTTTTTGGTTGACTGTGTTGTAGTTATTCTTTGGCATGTCTTAACTTGACGTGATAAATTTGTTTTAAAATTGTTTGCGTATTTTTGTTGTTTTTATTGCATATTTTCAGCACAGATTTAGTGATATTTAAAGTAATATTAAAGCGCATATTTTTGAAATTTTAAATGCTATAAAATCCCCCACTTGGTAAAATTACTTACCCCTCCCCTCCACATTTAAAAATCCTTGGACACGCCACTGCTAATAATGTATAAGTGTATAACCAAACAAATAAAAAATAAAAATAAATAATCGGTTAGGTACCTGTTATTATAATTTATACATATTAATACATTTTCAAAGTTTTATATAGTTTTAAGTATATACACAATTTATTTGCAATATACATATTTTACACATAAGGTAGCTAGAGAGTATTACATTTTGAATTTTGTGTGATTATTTTGAACAAAAAAAAGAAGTCGTTTCATTTCAAACGTGTCAAACGTTATGACAGTCCATTGTTCTCCCGAATGAGGACCATAGTACACCGTATATATATGGTCTTGGGCATAAGCTGGTTTCACGGAGCAAACTATTTTCAGTTCCCCTAGCACTTACCGCGAGTGCCGCCGTCTTAAATATTTATGGTCTATACCGCGTTTGGCGGTACGATATGTTTATAGGTGGCGGTAATATACATCATATATACCACACACTGTCCGCCTGGCCACAATATAATATCCGCAGAAAAAATATATGTTTATAATGATATAATACTATATGTATTATGGCCGGAAACGTTTCCGCGATTGTTTCCGATTCCCGGCGGCGGACAAGTGTTTCTGCAACAGCGTCTGAACGGCAGACGTAGCTTCAGACACCATCGGATGATTCCGGGTGAACATACTCGTATTATTATACTTTATTGCGTATCCACGGCGAGTGTCATGATTTTATGATCACCCGCTTAGCGGTCAGCCGGTGGGGAGGGAAGGTTTCGAGGGTGGGCACAACTCTGAGCAGGCGACGTCCATGATGATTGTGTTGCTGTTCCGTGTGCACAGTGTCCTGTGCCGTTACATTAAAGAGAATAGTAGAATCAGTCATCACTGTACGGAAACAAACAAAAACAATGTGTTAATTTCATTTCTTTTTCACAGCCATTTCAATATGTATTAAGCGTACAAGTATTATATTATTATAAGGCACATAAGCCCACATGTATATGGGTGGGTATGATCATATTATATAGAAGTATCAATTAAGATATTATATTCTTAGAGAATCATTCGCCTTCTCTATCTGTATGTCGGTTATGTGGATTATTATAATATATACATATCAGCACTACCAACTACTGCATTTTTTTTGTAAAAATCTAATGGTATAGTTTTAATGTTCGGTCGGTGGGGGTGGGTGTGGGTGTCGTATGACATACGTCGTAAATGCAGCGCATCACCAATAAACAATATTCTTTTTAATGTTTTCTCCCATTCGCTGAGCCCAAATTGCGCAACTAAAGTTCAGAAACTTATAAGCGCATATAAACTTTCTTTTTTTGTTAGTGTTTTCTATGGTTTCACAAAAATCACTCAAAGATGATACCAACTCAAAATCACACTAAACTTACATCTATAATGAAGAAAGTGTGCCAGACTTCCGAGCAAAAGAAGATTTGTATTGCACATATTATGACGTTTTTGGTTATAACCATTTMTTCTACCCGCAAAATGTGTTCATGGACAAAACATAAAACACTGTGACAATTTAAGATCAATTATAACGCCTAACACTAAAAACCCAAATTAGTACGATTGTACGAACAAATCCTAAAGAATTATTATTATTATATTATTTTTTTTCATCACACAACCGAAAAGGTTTTTGTTATCCACTTATCGTGACCAAACGGAACTTCAGACTTCAAAAAGGTCTAAATTATATGCAAACCAATCATAAATACTACGAATATTTATCTTCTATACATACTATCCAAATGTAAATATATATTTAAAATATAATTAATATTAAAACGTAGCTGACTCTTATCAGTATGACATAAGCATCACAAGTTCACACCCAATACGCTATATTTAAATAATTAGATACTATTTTAGCCTAGTTAGGTACTACCTATCTATACTTGTAATCATCACCTCCACGAATAAGGATTGTGATACAATGTATGCAGAATAATAAAAAAAAAAAAACACAATACTTTAGAGCAAAAATCGGATCAACCATAAATAATAGTGTTTTTATTAACATTGTTTATAGTTAAAAATGATTATTTAAAAATAAACAAATGTTAATCATATATAAATACCACACAGCCTGTCTATTTTGCTGTTACTCGTTGACCATGGCATAATACACTATCATAAAATGATTGTCCAAGTTCTATTTTGTAACTCAAACTTTTTTGGGTACACTTTYCCGTTTTACATATCATATGAATACAATTTGTCGGATATGACTTTGAATTAATAAAAAGTAAAAAATGAACCGACAAAAGTTTAATACAACTTTATTTGTGGGCACATTATTCTTATGACATGTATTTTATTAATAAATAAAATTTAGTTGGTGGTGAATAAAAGAGGAGGTAATAAAAAATAATATTTGAAACTGAGTAGTAATGTTGAATAAAATCGGGGTTGAGGATAATAATTCCACATATTTGGCGTTGTTATTTTTCCATGATTATAGTTTATAAGAAAAGTAATAATGTTGTATTGATTAATTGATTGATAATCGATTAAAAAAAATTTAAAAAAAATTATATTAATAATGTATAAATGTACCTATATATTTTTATAAAAATGTATATTATTAAAATAACTTAAAAAGTACAACGTAAAAATGTAAAAATTTCCTACAAACTAAATAATATTGTTTACTTAATTTAAGACAATAATAATAATTATAATAATAATAATAATAATAATAATAATAATAATAATAATAATAATAATTTAATGATAATTATAATAATAAAATATTCATAATAATAATAATAATAATAATAATACAATTAATACAGTTAGGACGTGTATAAGAATAAGTTTAAATGTATCACAGGTTTATGTTTATAGTATTACATATAAATATATAATAATATACTAAGTATCTAATACTATAGAAAAAAATTATTGAATTCCTTTCCCAATTTTTTTTTATACTTTTTTTACTATAATCGTACTTAAATAATAATTATCGCATAATTTAACAGGATATATAAATAATTTATTTTCCATCCACTGAGGTAAAAAAAATAATACTTTATAGGATATCACTACCCGACCCGAAAGTRATTTATTTTAAATACTATATAATATTACTCTACACAAACTTATTCGTCAATATATTTTTAAAAAACAACTAGGTATGTATAATTTTATTTACACGTTATTTTATATCATAACATATATTATTATTTATTATCTAATGAGAGCCCATATACCACAAGCAGTGCCGTTAATCGTTAAACCTGTACAACAATGTTTTATTGGTTCTTCGTAGGTTATAATATATTATACTCTTTGGGATGAAACCTTCCGTGGTGCTCAGTAGTTATAATTTATGATTTGACGAGCCCCGTCACCATTCAGCATCGCCAACCGAATTTCTATGCTCAACACCACGACCACCAATACGATATTTTAGAAGACTTTGGTATGAGGTAAATTTTTTTTCAATATAATATGTATGTACAGGCTTTGTTTTGTTTATAATAAAATCTGTGTAACTAGGAATTCCACCATCAGAAATTAAAACCACTGCAATAGTATAGGTAAACCTAAATGCATTCGCTTATTGTTTTATAATAAATGTATGTACAAAAATTAATAAATAATACATACTATGTGCATTTAGAGTAATACAGTCAACCTTCTGATACAACGGATATCACAATATATCGTGGCCACCACAGACCGTATTATTATTGATACTGAAATCCGATATATAGAAATAATATCCGAAATAATTCGCGGAAAACTTTTCGAAAAGAAAATTATTTTCATTGGAAACATACGAAAATTTCGAAACGTCAACGTTCGTATGGGTAATACTGTATTAAAACTTTCGTGGATTATAAAAGTAAAAAAAAAATAAATAAAAAAAAATAACAATTGCCTAAATCACCCGTTGTAGTTAAATTATGATAATTACATAAATATAGGTATAGGTACCTTATATGAACCATCATAATAATTACTGTTAATAAATAATAATACAAATCACTTTATTGATTCGTTTCACCTTTGTACCTATTAATTACTTAAAACTATCATTATAAACTAAGCACAATATACATAGTAAACGTGTATATTRTTTATAAATGTGTGAGTGCGCATGTGTGAGTGTGTCTAATACTACTTAAATCTAAAATTAAAACTATACATTTAACAATATAGTAATGATTATTTACAAAATCCAAACAACACAATGTTATATTGTAATATTATAATATTATAATATTAACATTTCTATTAAAAACAACAACATCAACGGCTGAACGACTGAACGAAATGTCATGTCTGATTTACATATATTTATACTCTCATTCAAATGACTTTCAATACCTACACTTCCGATAAATATTTAAAAGGACCAGACGTGAGTTCCATCACGTTTTTCAAAATCAAAATATCACCGATACTAATATCTCTATCCGTATTAAGTTTAAACTATCTCTTTGAAATGCTTTTTGAATAAATAAAATAAATCACAGATGGAGCGAATGTCACGACTACTAATTCGAAAATATGACTTATACGAACAAAATATTATGTCATTAATGAGGTTTTACCGTGGCTTTGTCAAAATATTATAATTAAATGATTTGAATTCTTTTTTTCCAAACACTCTTAGCGAAATCGACGAATTATGCAGAAACTTATAAATTGTAACCAAGTCCTCGCAGATTAAACCGATCTCTAAGGTATATTGCCATCGAAATGTTTTAGTGGAACGCATAAAATGTATTCAGAACATAAAACTTAGAWYACTACAAACTTAAATCAGATATTTGAGTGTAATATATATATATGCATAATATAACCCCCTAGTATAGTTTTAGTGGCCTAAGTATTAAATGTTTTGTGGATTTCAATTTTTCAGAACATTTTTTGTACCTTTTATTTTGTCAGTAGACATAACGTCGAATGAAAAACTATATAATTTATTACTAGATAGGTGTGTCATTTGGTGTAATAGCTTAAATGCTTAAATGGGGTAAGTTGAATTTTGGCGAAGATCCTTAAGGTCGGTGAACAAATATATATCTGTCCTGACCGGTGTTTTATTAACTTAACACAGCATCAAGGAGATGACACTATAATATACAAACTTATAACATTAAGTTTTATTGAATAATATGTGATAATATTCTCATGCAAAAGCGTATACTTATTTAGTTATTCAATGATATACGTCAGATATCGTTTACGGTGCGTAAACCAAAACATATACACCTATAAAAGTCTGTTTTACGGGTTGACCCATTTTTCGTTATGCTTTATTGAAACTTCAGTAACATCGGCTGATGATCAGAGCAAGATCAGACTAAAAGGTCTCCAGATGATATGTATGTAATGGTTAAGAAAGGTTTTGCTACCACCCCCCCCCTCTTTGTAGTGTCATTTCTTATATAGATGATAAATACTTAATACATCTTGATAACATTCACACATTTGAAATGTAATTATAATTGACAATTRTTAATATCGCTATTAAATGTATTATAATTTTGAAAAATATATTATTCAACACCTAATAAGTAGATAGGTTCTAAAATTATATTATTAGTAATCCTTTTAATAGAAATACATGTAGCCAATCATTTTACAATTTCAAATTTTTAAATCTGTACCCAGATAGAAATGGTATTTAAATTTAGTTAATATAGTCATAAAGTAAGAAACTCATAAAATTCAATAACTATAACTTSTCCGTGGTTCTATGTTAAGTATACATTTCAAGCCATCCACAATGCAACCAAATATCCGTCCATGCACTTATATTATATATTTTTATGATATATTCAATAGCTGGTTAGTAAATTTTTCAAATGATTACACTATCTACGTTTTGCACTGCTTAAAAATACTATAAAGCATACAGTTGTTAAAGCGAAGTGATTGCAACGACCATAAGTAAATTATTATTATTGATAGAATTCGTTTAAAAACCTCAAAAATTAATTTTAATTAATTTAAATTGTTTGTGTACATTGGTACAGATTAAAATTTAGAAACAAATCCTTAAATACAATTTAATTTTCCCATATTTGTAATTGAATCACGCGTAACAATGAACTATTAGATTTTCTATTCCTTACTACAGAAATATTTGTTATGCTTTTGTAACATAATCGAAGAGATGTCTTTAATACCGATAAATATAATTCACATAAAAAATGTAGTAAGGTTAAACTTTAGGCCAATATTTTTCTCCCCTTTTCATAAAACAAAACAATTTTATAAGGAAAAATATTAAATATTAAATTGTGTGTTTTGAAAATCAGCACTAACAATATTATCTCAGTCTACTGGTAAAATAGTAGTCGAAATTAACGATCATGTGGATTTGGTTTATAAGATACCCAAAAGTTTCTACTTATAATTGTAAAGGAATAATTTAACAATGATAATATTGTACCTTAAGATTATATTTTATTACGGATTTGAACCGTTACATAAAGTACATTCAATTGTATAATAATCAACAGTATAGTTGTACAAGCGGTACTTCTAATATTGTTATTATTTTCWAATTTTTTTTATAAATTAAATACATTCAATACATGTCTATAGGCAGTGGTTGAATTGGAAAAAAAATAAAGGTGGACTCTAAATGAAGTTGAACAATTAAGCAAATTATTTTAATAGTAACCCTATATTCCTTGATGAATATAATAAAGGGGTACGCTATAATTTGAAGAAAAATGAAGAGTAGCTCARTCCCCCTGCGTCCTCCCCCAATTCAACCACTGTCTATAGGTTTATCTACAAAACCCATATTCACCAAGATGAGGTAAAATCGAAAAAAAKTTCAGAGACCCTGACATAAAATTAGTGCGGATTTTCAAAGATTTCTGTGCTACGAGCCATACATTAAATATTGGCCAACTATAATAATAACTAAAAGGCTTACTACGRCACCTAAAATACTATAAAGAGTCGAATTCATAAAATAGGTTTAAAATTGTTATACATAAAGATTTTATAATTGAGTCGTTACAAAATGGTAAGAGATATTTAAGCATGGATATTTTGTCGTATTTTCTACTCCAAATTATTTCTTACTTTCTTTGAAAGTCAAACCACAATACAGCATAAATTGTTATTAAAAAAATAAGTTCTACGTAGTGTAAGTAATTAAAACTATTTTGTTAAAATAGATTAACATTTTGGTCAGTCTAGCAATATGATTGCAATCAGCCCAATATTAGGTGCGTACTTGAAGCAACATGTTGGCAAAGTTTGAGTTTGTGAACTTGAAGTGTCTCTTGTCATAGAATTTGAGTAGTGCCGGACTGTATGGGTGTTTCTCTTTGAGATGAATGTAGTGCACTTCAGGTTCATTGGTGGTATGTCCACATTCTTCGCAAACGTACATCTGTAATGAAAAATCAATAACATAGACGTTAAATACTGTTAATATTATGACATCTGCTAAATTTATGACAGGCTTAAATGCATAATAATGCAATATTATTATTGACAGCTGTATGAAGAATGTAAATAGTACATACCTTTGTCCTTCTCTCTTTGTAAGCATACTGATGATGTACACCATGCACTTTCAAGCAGTGAGATTCAAGTGAACAACGTTGAGTAAACGATTTCTCACACAGATTACACTTGTAAGGCCGGACACCTGTTGATAACAAAAATGTAATATTAATATAGTTACCTACTCAATTTTAGTCGTAAAATTAATCGAGTTCAACAAATTTTTAAATAGCTGAAGTAAGATTTGATKTTGTTTGGCATAGCAAAATTAAATTATTTTAAAACAATATAAATCTTTTACAAAGTGATTGCCTTAAAAGCAAAAGTCACATAGTAATTCACTAGGTGGCAAACAGCTGATGATTGTATCACTAATTTATTTTTTATAGCTAAGTTATAAAATTGCATTATTAATACTATTATTATTAATAATAAATTATAGCTTATAAGTTATAAGTTATAACATATAACTATATTAATATATTGTGTTTTGTTTAAAAAATGAATCCAACTATCTTTATTTAGTTTTCAATTTAAAAATAATATTTTACTCAATCACAAAATCTTAAATTCGTAATTAATTTCCAATTTCCAAATACATAATTTACATACCAGTATGTGTTCTGGTGTGTCGTTTCAAGTCAAACGTGTCATTGAAACCCTTTCCACAGAACGTACATAGGTATCGTTTGACATCACTGTGACATTTCATGTGTCTGTTCAACAAACGTTGTAAGTTGAATGTTTTAGAACACAGGTTACAACAGAACTTTGAACCGTTTTTGGTTGTTTCGGCTGGTTCGGGAGTATTATTTACTGATACGATAGTTGCAGGAGGTACTGAAGTATTGCTTCTATCTGGCTCTGGTGTTCTAATTAGAATTGATGGGGGTGGCGGGGGTAGAGTGTCGTGATTGGCTAATGGGTTCTTGATGCCATGACCACCGTTGACAAACTCGAATGGCAAGTCATTAGGAAGGCCGAGCTGTAAATGATAATTCAATATGAGTACACACAATTGGTTCTGGGAGCTTTTGGGGATTAAAGAAATATATATCAAAGAACAATATGTACTTTTGCCATTGATTTACTGGAGAAAGAAGAATATTTTGATTTCCCTACGGGTGGGGTGGTCTTTCTCACCCTATGTTGTAGTACTCTGACATCCAAAGCGGAGTTACTGGAATCTTTGCCATTTTGAGGCGGTGGCGTAAGTGAAGACATTGTACCATCCATACTAACGCTGGCAGGTGATGGAGCCGACATGCTCGTGTTTGAGTCCATCTCTAGCGACGACAAACCCGGTGATAACATCATTTGTCCACATGCCTAAAACAATAACTAGTTATAACGATTTGGATACATTGTACGTGATTGTGAAAGTTAGACTAATGATTTTTGCTTACGTCTACGTTTTGAGGTTGTTGTAATTGCACTTGTATTTGTAACTGTTGCAGTTGTTGGTTGGAGTCTTCGAAACTGCTTTGTGATAATCTGTCTTTTGATATATCATAACTTCCATAGTTATTTCTGCATGCTACTGGCTGTCCATTATTGTTGTTGTTCACCTGCTGTAGATAATTGCGCTTCTCTAATTGTGACTCGGAAAACCCGTTTCTATGTTCATTAAACATATGCAGAGGTTGTTCGACCAGTGAAGGAGGAATGCACTCTTGGGGCTAAAAAATGGTTTTATTAAAATACTGATAAGAATCATGTGTATTGCTAGTGTGATTGTATATTTGATACAATTATGCAATTCTAAAAATAGAAAAAGTTGTATTATTCATATAAATTTACCTCTTTGAAGAACAGTTCAGCGGCGTCGTTAAGGCTGTCCAAGAAGTCGGGGTCTGTAGGACCCGCGAAAGTAAGAGTAGCAGTAAACTGCAAAGGATCGTTGGATGTGCCATTTTCAGAATCAGCCATCAGTGTGTCGAAACTATTTGTTTCCTTTACGTAACTCGATAGATCTTCACAATCGTCCTCTTTAATATCCATGCCTAGCGACGAGGCATTTTGTAACATAGAATACTGTTTCGGTGGACCTTCCAATCCTATGGAGAAAGGACCACCACCACCAGTGACAGGATTTTGACCAGTATCGTTGTTGAAGCACAGTTGTTCGGTCATCATCAAATGATATTGATTGTTGTACTGAGCAGAGTAGCAATTGCCACCCGATTTTATGAGGCTCTCGTGAAAGGGTGGCAGCGAAACAGGACTGTTTGGTCCACCAAAATGTTTGCCGTTGCCACCAGGGTTCATGCCACCACCTCCTGGGGCCATGCCACCTCCCCCACCACCACTGCCCAAGAGACCGGCGGGACCACCGCCTCCACCACCACCWAGTGTGTAGGAATGCAACGACGAGCCACGGTTTGAACTAGAGTTGGTACTACCACCGTTTGTACCTCCCCCACCGCCTCCCCCTTGTTGGCCGCCACTGCTCCTTCCTCGACCAGCAGCGGCAGTGATAATACCATTTGGCGCTGAAACCAACTGTCCTCGTAACGTAATAGTGAATTTGTTTTTGATAGCTCGAACGATTTCCAAGTCTAAATCTGCTTCCTTTTTAGGCACATGATAATCGATCGGTGCATCTTGTTCGGGTTCTTGGACAGTGCTCGGAGACTGTGTTAATGGTCTTTTCGGACAGACAGACGGTGATTTAACGGCTGCTGGTGTTCTTTGTATTACTGATACCTGATGGCATTTTGGTGGTGGTGGTGGTGGTGGTGGTGGTGGTGGAGGTGGCAACTTTGGTTCAGGCTCTGGGCTAGTCACAGCTTCCTCTTCGACTTTGACAGAGGATGGTTCACATWGCCGATGGGTTACCTGCAAACTATCTTTACTACCGTATGGTATATTATCGCCATCTGACGTGGATATGAATCGTCTTTTTGGCGGTGGGTTCCAGTCAGGGGACGGTGGACATATGATTGGRGTAGGAGCCTCAATAGACACCGTYGGACTAACTCGGTGGTTTGGAGATTCTGCTCTACTTCGTGATTCTCGTTCCACACAATTAACTCGGTCAATCTCTTCATCATCATCTTTARGTGGATCTTTCTTGGAGACAATTTTCTCTGTAAAACATAAATATAAATCAAATTAAGCGTACAATAGAGCACTGCACGGTACAATTTGGCTAACCAAAATTAAATCGATTGTCATTCGTATGGCGTGTCTGTTATTACAAGCACCTGTACACCGTGTCATATTCAATATCCCTTTTTAAACATCGTACACATACGTAACGCGCGACGCCCCAAACCCTTTAACCCACTGCCAGACTGTTGTTTGTCTCCAGTCCAAGGATAATTGTTATATGCCGCGCYGACACAGCAACAAGGCCGTGGTCGCCCCAAAATAAACAACCGCCGCGCATGTTAAATATAAAAGGATTACCGACGAGCCTCTTGTCGACTACAATAAAACCATAATTCACATCGCCGTTGTAACAGTATTTGACCAGCAGTCTTTGTGTAGTCAGACAGCACAAACAAAACGGGACAAATAAAATGAACAACGCGCGACATACAAGGCCGAGTTTTATTACTGTTCAACAGTCGTCACCCCGACTCATTACATTTAATAGTCACAGATACCAATCCATGCATTTGAAAAAAAGGGTAAAAAATGTGTTGTCRAACAACAAAACGTTAGTGGTATTTTTAAACCCGGTCGTTACGCGTGTAATACTATCATCTTCGCGCTAACATGCCGCTGATTCCTTATTATAGAGTCGCAAGTTTTTTACGCGCATCGAAGTCTTATGAACTTTCACGATAGACCACGGCGGCCTCAGCTTCGAGACGATCTACGATGGAAGTAGGACGTGCAGTATAAAATAAATACACACAGCATAATAATAATATAATAGTAAGATAGTCAGGACCGGGTTCGGGCGCGTCACGAGTACCGGACGAACGGTTCTAACCGGATTGTCAAGAATTAAGGCAGCGTTCACAACACAGTATTCCAATATTGAAACTCTCAAATGTACAAGTAATATGATATACCAAATGTCTATAAAAACAATAATAATGTATTATTATAATACATCGATTCGAAAGGAGACGTTCGACTTGGACGCGTTTCACGTGAAAACTCTATAGCATAATGAAATATTCTGGGTCATCTACGAGTACCTGTTTATACGTATATATTTATATATAATAAAATCACCGTTCCGGTGCAGAAGTATTGGGTACGGAAGGAAAACGGAAAAAACCGTCCAAACAGCCACCGCGGCCAACCGTAACGATCAATGTCGTTGCACTCGGCCATTGCCTGCACACAAAACACTATAATACAATAATTATACATAATATATATATTTATATAGCTGTGTTCTACCTGCTACATTTAACTCGGAGATTATTCACCGTAATGGTGACGATCGTGTTTTTTTATTTCAATTCAACACACCAGAAAGAGCAAAAAGCGTACGATTTTCAGCGGTAACCAATTAAATCGGATTTTCGCGGCCATTGAATTTCGTTACGTTTACAACAATATTATAATGTATAGGTAGGTATACAGCAGGCATCACACCGGCTGCAGTTCGCCGCTTTTTCACGACTACGTATCCGAATCAATGCCGCCAACGATGAGCGTAGCTTGTGTGAACAAATCTTAAAGCGTGACTGGCAAAACTTGTTTTATTTTTTTTTTTTTTATCCACCATCGAAACGTGTACACGTACTTTTGTGCGCGCGTGTGTACGTGTATGTGTGTAGGAGAGCGAGTTTATGAGTGTACGTGTGTGTGTGTGTGTGTGCCTATATACGATCATAATAATATACGCGTACACAATACACGACGGTATATATATGTATATAAATATGTATAGGTATCATAGGCGTGCGCAGACTTTGACCGCAGGGGGGGCTCCTTAAAAAGGTCCGAACTAAAGATTCTTGTGTGATGATAATTGATTAATTAATAAAATAATAACTTAATCACATTTATATTTTATTTATACTATTAGATTAAAACTGGCTTCACTTTTTTTTTGTAAAATCTAAAAATGTTCGCTGTCTAGTATAATATACATATCTATGCATTTATTAAAGAAAAAGCCAGAGGCCGCAGAGGGGGCCGCGGCCCACCCGGCCCCCCCTGTGCGCACGCCTATGATAGGTATAATAACCGTGCGAAATACTTGCTGAATTTCAAATCATTAACCAAGTTCAAGGCAAAGTTCACGTCTGCGCCAGCTACAACATAATGGTCGGTCGTTAAAATCTCCCAAGGACAAAATATCATACTCCGGCGGCGGCGTGCGCGCAGCCGCAAAAAGACGTTGCATAGCTTTATAATATACATATATTTGTAATATATTGTGTGTGTGTAACGTGCACGAGTGTAATTTAAATTTTATCGCTATTCGAAATCAAACCGCCATCAAGGCACGCCATCCACCACCGCCAATCGGGACGACACAATCGACGATATAGGTAAGTATACGTGACTTGAGTGCGAATATTTCGTACATGTACCTCCTCTACCTATTATCATACTTTTTACGGGACACGTGAGTTCGCGTGTGTATATTATTATACAACTATAGTCAATGTCAGCATATACGTTGCGCTGCTTCCACATACAGCGATGCCATCCGCAGCCGATGAGAGCCCCGAAAAGTATTGTTTATTTTAAATACCGACCTTGGACGGATTTCGGCTGCAACAGTACGGTATATTCCGCGTGACGACGGATACGGAATAGCAAACGAATGTGGGCGTTTCTCGCCCGTATGATGTTACGATTGTTAAATATTTAAATATTATTATTGCAATAGTCACGCGTAGGTCTGTGGCGTTATGGGTATGTCGTCGGGCGATTGTATATAATATTCATTCTGTAAAATATACATATTACGTTTTTTTGTTTTCTGGCCGGCGTGGGATGAACGTTCTGCGAGAGAACTGAGAAGGCAAAATAAAACAAAAAACAAACCGTTCACGCATTGTGCATTACGTTATTATTATATTATTGTACTACGAAATCATAATGGCGAACGACACTCTTCTTCTCTTCCGCCGGGCATGACAAACGGCCGCGTATTATAACGGTACTCGCCACTGTCACACACACACACACACACACACAAACGCGTATTGTAATGTTTATATTGTATATTAGTAATGTGTATATATTAAAATATGACCAGGCGACAAAATGACGAGCCAGACCATGCCGTAGGCGCGACGCGTACCTAGATATACTGCAATAAGTCGTGTGTGTTTTTTACGGGTCGTTGGTGAATAGGTATCTAAATAAAAAATGAAAACATCGATCGACGACCGTTTTTAGTGTGTAATATTTGTCATTTGTCTATTACGTCGAATAATCACACAACCGCGATGTGCAGGGTGCAATTATAATATATTATCATATTATACGTCTTATACTCGTATGTACCTTATAGAACGATCGAGTTATGTTTTTGGGTGYCTATTTTCTTCAATCCGACAGGATGTCTTGTAAACATATTATTAAGACGGGGTGGGCGTCAGGACACGATGAGGAGTTATCCTCCTCGGACAAACTAACGTTGTGCGACGACCATCAGAGACGTAGGAAATTATTTTTAAAAAAACCAACGAACCCGCGATGTAACGTGGGTAGGTATACTTATTTAGACGTCGCCCGTTATACGCCGAGAGCGAATGCGCGTATTCTAAAAACTTATATATGCGTACGAGCGCTGCGGAAATCRCTATATAATATAATATTATAAAAAAACATTAAGAACTCGTCGATTGAAACACGCTTAGACAAATTATGGTTTATATATTTTTTTTTCCGTGAGTGGCCCGCGATTTTTATGAAGTGGAATTATACAAGAAAATGCGTCATAAATAAAATATAAAACATATAATTATTATTATCATTCATATATTATTATTGTTATGAATAGTTTTCGGCCGTAAATTGCCAGTGCCATTGTCCTGTCTGCAGCAGCATAACATTATACACAAAATAATACATAAGCGCCTACCTACATATTTATATATATACATATGTATATACGAATATAACCGCTAGCAGAGTACGGCGGCGGCGGCGATGTGCGGGTGGCAGGGTGGGCGGGCGCGCCAAAGGACACCGAACGGCGACGGCCTCGGACGCAACAACGGACGCATACTATAACCGGATAAAGGATTCTGTTATTTATAACGATTTTTTTTTTTTTTTTTTTTAGAAAAAACGTAACCGTCTATAGGTAGAGAGGTATATGATATAACGCGTATAATAAAAAGTGTATAATAACGTAATATATATATATTTTTAGACGCTCTCCGGTCTGTCCTCGAGACGCTGCCGCACCGCACCAGTCGCGATGTCGTGCCACGTCCATAATATATAATTTATATAATTTATTATTTATTTATAACACTATCGTTAGTAGACGCGTTTAGCGATCGTTTTTGCCCGCGCCCGAACGTACGCAGATATCACGCGGCCTCGGCGGTGTTTCGTTACGAATTATTTTATATAATATATTTCCTTCACGAGTAGGTATGGTTTTTCGTCTGCAGTGCCACAACTTTGCGAATGAAAAACCGCTAACAGAATCTCCGCAAAACTACCGAAAACCAAAATAAATCGACGCATATATAGTTTCTCTAACAAGCGTGCACCTGTCGTCGCGACACAGTGATGGGACGACCAGCGCGTCTTAACTGTAGTTCATGTAACGTTATGATTTCAATGATTGGGGCCCAATGTTACATTTTTCATGGATTATGACGCAAGTCCGAAGCGGCAGTCAAAGGAACGCGGCAATATAGATAAAAAATAAAAATAGTAATATGTATTATAACGTCGTCGTCGTGGCATTGGTCGGTTCGGAGGTCTCTCTCTCTATCTCGATTCAATACGTTATACCTATGTATAATAGTCGTGTACAGTCAGGTTTTTGTCCGGCACACCTCGATAGACTTCAAGGTAAAACTCGTTTCAGGTTCATTACGAACTGATGCCACTATAATGTTGTTATATACAGTAGACCGTCGGCTAACGGCCGCAGAACCTATTATGAATATGTATATATATGTATACACATTATAGAGAT